AAGTTCGACGCAAGTACGCCATCTGAACCAGCCGTTGCTCCAAAGTCGCTCTGAAGTTGAACTTAATCAAGTTTGGTTCGGCACATGAGTGGAGCGGCGTTTGGACCAGGCCTAACATAGCCTTAGCGAAGCGCATGTTCTGATTGGCTATTTTATGCGCTTGATCCTAGCCTCTTACAGGCGTTCAGTTAGTTGGGGCACAGTGCCAAAAACAGCGAGCAAAAAGATAGGGGAGAAGTGCGGCGAGAGAAAAATGGAAGAACGCCTGTGGGCAAACTTAACAAAAGGTCCTTCCACCCACTTTCATATTATTTGATATCCGTGATAAGAAGCAACATACTTTACTTGCAAACAGTTCTAATCAAACAGCCAGGCCCAAATAACTCAACATAAAGAGCCCGTCATAAACATGTGTGAAGAAAAGAAAGGTCTCTCATTTCTCATTTGCAGTCAGTAGCACTTGAGTGTTGACAAAATCTGTCAAAATTGACCAATCAGAGGGTATAACAGATCCTGGTGTACCAGAACAACTTTTTGTTAAGTTTGCCCACAGGCGTTCTTTTGCTTTTTCTTGCCGCACTTCTTCCCTATATTTTTACTCACCATTTTTCACGCTGTGCCCCAACTAACTGAACGCCTGGAAGAGGCTAGCTCGATCCATTTGCCTGTGGGTTGCATGCTCATGTCAGTTTGTTTATTTGTACTTTCTCTCGGCAATTTTTTTCATTGATGTTGACACTCTGTAAAACAAAATTCCTATTTTTCTTCTCCTAAAATATGGAAAAATCTAATAATTCTTCCGGAGATGAGGAATATTATTCCTGTGAGTTACCAAATTTTGAGCTAAGTTTTTTGCCGGGCCTCCACCTAAGAGATTTGCGAATTAAAGCAAGCAGGAGTTGAATCAGCTGGTTGAACAAAGGCACTCGGCACTCAGAGACGGACCAAAAAACAACAAACTGGTCTGTATCAACCTTTTGAGGTTAGTAATACATAGCAGGAATTTATAGAGCGATTTGACGACAATAAAATTCAGCACAAGCTTTCATTGTAAAACTTTTCTGGCATCGAAAGCCATTTAAATGCTATTGCTTTTGGCGAACAAAACTTGAACATGAGAGCTTTAACAAATCTCTGTTTGCGAAGTCTTACATCCAAAATCCTTCTGTTCCAAAAATGTTAAAGGTAATAGTTTTTCTGAGCTTTAACAAAGGAAGTTTTATCAAATATTGGTAGCCTGTGATGACTTATTTCAGTTTG